TGACTCAACAGTTATGTAAATGCCCTTTTTTGCTTGCTTGCTTGTTTGCTTTCCTAAGAAATAGGTCTGGCAGCTGAAAATAGGACTTAACAGTAATGTGCTAGAGGTATACTTAAATCTTTCTTTATAGACCATCTGATCAATCAAATTGTTACCCCCCAATAGAAAAGAAAGGTTCGGGAATGACCATCTTTTCTCCTTAGAGTAGAAAAGCAGCTAGACAGCGGGCATGCTTTCCTTCCTTCCTTCCAATCATCCTTCCTTCTCTCCTTCCCTAAAATTTACCGTATTTTCCCCAAAATAAGACCTAACTGGAAAATATGCCCTAGCTTGATTTTTTTCAGGATGCTTGTAATACAAGCCCTGTCCCAAAAATAAGCCCCAGTTAAAATCGTCAGACACATTTAGTACCATATTTCCTCAAAAATAAGACCTAACCAGAAAATAAGCCCTAATGCATCTTTTCAAGCAAAAAAATAATATAAGACTTGGTCTTATTTTCGGGGAAATACGGTAGCTGTTCATCTTACAGCCAACTCTGGGCAACTCACAATACGCATGCATTACTGCCACAGTTGTTCATTTAAAATTATATCTGCAATGGAGGGGGAGGTTTTTTTTGTATCCACAGTGGCCAAACAGGAAAAAAAATCAGAATGGCACTCCAAACGGATAAAAGGTTTTGAAGTACCCAAGGAGTGCCTCTGAACTCAAAGTCCCAAAGTCCCACTTCTCCACAAAGGAGCAGAGTGTTATCCTCGCCCGACACATGAGAGCAAACAAAAGCTGTACCTCCAGTATAACTGCACAGATCTGTCGCACACACTGGATGATGGCATCTGGTACCCCAGAGACGGTTACAGCCCTTTCAGTGGAATTGGGCAGAAGGTCTCCAGCCACCTGGACCTGAGCACCTGTTGTCTGGAATGAACAAATGATCTGTTTTTCTCAGCAGCCTCTACTTACATGGAGCTGCGTCAAGAACATTTTGTAATCCTGTGAGATTATTATGGCATTGTTGAAGGAGCTAATTTATTCAGAGATCTAAATGCTTCCTGTGATACCCCTTCCCCGACATAGCTATGACTTCTCATACAAACAAAATATTTCATTTGACTTTCACAAAGAAATGCAAATGAAAAAAAAAGTTGTCAATTTAGTTTCAGTTTTTATTTAACAAGAAAGAAGTGTGCAAGCCGGCTTTTGAGATTTAAGCCATTCGCTCTGGGAGTATTCACATCAATAGCAATGAAACTAGAAAGGAAAAAAGTTAAGGCACAAAAAAATAAAGAAAGTAACAGTAATGCTCAAGTGAACAAGATACGATGATTGAAGTTCTCTACCTCTCGGATTTCCTTTATTTTGGTTCCAGCTTTGCCAATGAGTGAGCCACACTGGCTAGCTGGGATGACCAGCCTCAGTGTTACGGGTGGTTTGGAGATGGTGCCTCCGTTGGTTGCTCCATTTCCCAAATCCTGAAATAAAAGAATTTGTATTCAATTCAAGTGCAAAGGGATTCTTTCAAAGCCACTTTTAGTTATTATTATTATGCAGCATTTTGTGTTAGTACTCCCCTTATAGGATTAAAAAAAAAAAATCCTAAGTATCTAGTTCTTCTAATTTCTAAGATCCACTGTTTGATAGTATCCAGATTTTTTTTTTTTGCATGCTGCATTCCTAATAATATTCTGTCTTGGTTTTTTTTAAAGCAGAGATACAATTTGGTGAGATATAAATACAGTGGCATTGCCCCCACTTGCTTTAATTACGGTTGTTTGGAATTCCTAGGAAAACTTAAACTATATATACCAAGAGAAATACATTACGATAAATGGCTGTTTAACCTTAATCCTTTAACGAGATACAGTACGTGCCAGAAAATTATCAAGACCTTTCCTGATTCAAAACACCACTACAAAATCAATGTTCTCATAAATAAATTGCACGACTCTTCCTTCTTTTTGGCAGGAACGGTATGAAATCTCACCATTTGATCATAGACGCAACAGCCATTGTAAGCTCTCAATAACTAGACATGGTTTATATGGCCAATGCCAGCTTTCACTGGAAAGCTTCTAGCTTTATTGGAAAACTGATAGATATTTTTAGTGCTACAATATACTTAATGTGAGCAAGTAAGACGTGCTCTCTGGGAGCAACATGCAGCAGACAGAGATTGGGGCTACTTCACCTCCTCCAGCTTGAAGGCAATCATGGAAACAGCTCTGAAAACAGCATCCGTGGAACCTGTAATGGTAGTGATCCTCTCAGGGCAGGACCCTTCTGAGATGGTAATCCGGGCAGTACTCTGAAGACACAGCAAAGCAGGAATAATCATGGAAAATACGTTTTAAGTTTTCTAATTGTTTATAGAACGCTTCTATCAAGCGCACAAAATGTTTCATAAACATCCCAATAGTCTGCCAAGTTAGCTGGCTGCTATCTGCATACTGAAGATGTGGCTGAGAAACAGAAGAGATAGGCCCTGTCTGTTTGGGGAGTCTAGTCTGAATTTAAATTAGAAGCAAGGACTTCACGGCTCACATCTCTTTTTCTCATCCTTGCATTTCTCTGAGAGGTATCTGCTAGTGTCGTGGTTAAGGCAGCAGGCTAGAAACCATGAGGCTGTGAATTTTCTTCCCACCTTGGGCACAAAGTCACCTTGGGCCACTCTCTTTCTCTCAGCCCTAAGAAGGAGACAAGGGCAAACACTTCTGAAAAATCTTGCTGAAAAAACTGCAAGGACTTGTCCAGGAAATCCCTAAAAATTGGACACAACTGAACAGAATAAAAATAAATCTGCTACTTGAGAATCAAATCCTTTCATTTCAAGAGAGGATAAATTCAAACATCAATGGTTTTCATACCTATAGTATACTCTTACTATTATTGCATCATAGAATGTAGTAATATATTTAATACAGATAATAACTTCTGTTTCATTTCTATTTTTCAGTCCTGTTCTCATGAAGACTTTTGCATTGTATGCGTTAAGCTAGATTAGTACTGAAATAAAACTGGCACATCCAACAATGTCAGTTAATTGTCAATAAAGACATGATGCAAAGCTTCAAAAAAAATGGCACAGCAATGTTGGAAGGAAAGAGCGCCATCATTGAGCAGGTTCATACAGTATAGTATTAAAGCATCTCTGAGGATTCTGTAGAGATTCTCAGTCATTCAGGTCATGCTTGTCCCAAAGGTGCTTTTTCAGGAGGCAACTGGACTTCCTTGTTTTTTCTTTGAAGATGTTTCACTTCTCATCCAAGAAGCTTCTTCAGCTCTGACAGGATAGTGGGAATAATTGTCTGCAAGGAATATAAATCTTTCCATTCCACACTATTCTGTCACAGCTGAAGAAGCTTCTTGGATGAGAAGTGAAACGCATTTAAAAAAAAACAAGATAGTCCAGTTACCTCCTGAAAAAGCACCTTTGGGATACCTCTGAGGGTAGAAATACTGACCTTATGTAGTAGTGTTTAAGTTTATTCAATGACAATGAAGAGCTAGAGGGAAGTGTATTCATTATTTCAGAATCTACTTTAGAATAATTATGAATTACATTTAGAAAAATAGTGACTACAAGTAGGTTGATCCTGCTTTCTGTCTCTCCATATTTTCATACTTTCATACTTTCCTCTTGATCTTCATTCTGCCTCCCTACTTTCTCCCAACAGATTTTTGCTTTTCGCTTAGCAATTCATCCAGTTAGAGCTATCAAGTAGATAGCTTCTTCCCACCCTTAGCAACTTTAATATGAGTGGATTTCAACTCCCAGATTGGTTAGCTGGGGAATTCTGGGAGTTGAAGTCCACACATTTTTAAATTGCTGAATTTGAGAAACACTGGAATAGCAGATCACCTGTATTTGGCCAATTTCCCCCATGATGCCTACCTGTTCTCGTATCTTCTTCACAGTCTCTCCTTTCTGTAGGATTAAGGACAATAAAGACAATTACTCTTAGAATGTAGAGGAAAGGAATTTTGAAAGCACAGAGTGACCTATATTGATCTTACCTTTCCTATGATACTGCCAACTTCCTGCAGAGACAAGAGAAATGGAGTTAGAAGAGATACCCGAATCTGAAAGAGTCTAGCAATGCCTGAACACATATTTTTGGCTGGAAAATGAGGAAGCAATCACACACACCTTCTCAAAAAAAAAATAAAGGTCATTCATGATTTGACAAATTGAATGAAAGGGTTATTCTTCCTTTCATGATCATTCTTTTTCTTCTCAATCACTATTAGATCTTTTTAAAAAAACTTAATGTTGAATTTGTATTAATCTTGTCACTTTGGCAATTTAACCCACTATTTTGCTTTAACTAATTAATTCATGACCGCACCTCAAACATCCCTGCAGAGTACTAAAAAAGCATATTCTAGGTTGGAGAGAATATTTCAAACTCCCATGCGAATTTGGAACAGTACTATAGCACACCACTTTAATATTGGGATGTGCAAAATAACACTTCCCTGCCATTCAAGTGACCATTCTGCCCCATGCAAGATTTGTTACTGACTATGAAGAGACCAAAACTGAAGCCTAATATGGCAGTTCTAATCTACTTACCTTTCCATGCATAAGCATCCGGAGAGTGAGAGTAATGCTGAGTTCCGTTTCATCCAATCCGTTATCTGAGCCACTCATCCTATCTGGTGATGCCACGCTGTAGGAATGCATGGATTTGCTTCTAAGGAAAATCAACACCCTGGCCTAGAAGGTGTTGAAGTCGGCAAATCTGCAAATGGATGAAGAAAAATAATTTCAAAAAGTTTCATATGGTACCTTGCTTGTAAATCAGCCCCTTAAGTTGGAGAGGTAAGGGTGATTAGTATTGTATTGATTTATTGTTTATAAAATGTACCGGCCACCCATGTTACTATAGGGTAACTCTGGGAGGCTTACTGTTACTTCTTAGTTAAAGCGTTAACATGTTGAAATCAAACCTTACAACCAAAGACACATGGGGAGGGTGGGTGCGGAGTGGGGAGAGAGATGGGATCTCTTATTACTCAATCAATCACCTCTTTGCGCTGATCCCACACTGGGGCCCCAAGCCTACTGGCAAATTTTCTTACAAAATGATAGGCAGGTTGGGGCCAACCTCACATCAGAGGGAAAGATGTTCCAGAGGGCAGGAGCAACAACAGAGAAGGCCCTCCTCCTGGACTATGCCAGCCGGAATACTCGGGCTGACGGGACCATAGCATGCCTCCTCTGCCGGTACGAGTGGAATGGGCTAATCCTTATGGTGTCAGGTTCGGGTTAATGTCAGAGTTCCAAGTAACACCCCCAATGAAAGAAGACTCTTGAGTTTCCTCAAAGTTCCATTTTATTAGAGATGCCATATTGGCACATCTGAGAAAACCCGAATCTGAAAGCTTCCAGGTTTTCCCCACCCAAACCAAAGTTCAATTCCCTGCCCAGCACCCACATGTCCATCACATGGTCGAATCAGGCACCGTCCCAACTGGAGATGTTTCTCAGTCACACCACTCCAGTTGCAGGGCAAGGTGTCTTTGACTCTCTGAGAAAGGAATGTTATTTGGACTATATATTTCCCATACCCCATATAATCCCCCCTCCCATTTTCCCCCAGCATTAATTGTGGCAGGCCTGAAGGCCCAATGCAAAAGATGGCTTCCAGGCCTGACAAATGGGATGAGAAGTAACCCGTACCCATGCCATGAAGTATGGCCTTTAAGGTGATCACCAACACCTTGAATTGTACCCAGAAGCACACTAGTAATCAGGGCAGTTCGCGGAGCAGTGTTATTGTAGGAGCCATTCTTGGGGGGGCCAAAACTATCTGCGCTGCCACTCTGCATCAGCTATAGCTTCCAAATGCTCTTCAAGGGTAGCCCCATGTAGAGTACATTACAATAGTCCAGTTGTGAGATGACTGGGGACTGAATGACTGAGTGCAGGGAATCCTGCTCCAGGACAGACTGCAACTGGCACACAACACCAAGTTGTGCAAAGGCTCTCTTAGCCATGATCACCACCTGTTCCTTCAACAGGAGTCGCAAATCCAGGAGAATCCCCAAGTTGCAGACTGTGTCTTTCTGGAGCAGTGCCACCCCATCCAGAGTCAAATATGACAAAGTCCCGAATTCCAGAGCCCTGCAAACCCAAAGCCATTTGGTCTTACCAGGGTTCAGTCAAATGTTAGTAAGAAGAGGTTGGCTTTTATGCAACATCCCTTGATACTTCTGCTTCAGAGCATCTGGAAAATAATGATAATGGTGATGAAGGGAAACATCCCATAAGCAAATATGGCTTATTTAGCCATTAGGAAGGAGAAAACGAATGGAAACACACCAGTATCTAAATCTGATCTGTGAAATATTATGATGATTGTACATGGATGAAATATCCATGTACATCAAAAACAATACACAGTAGTGAAGCCAACTGCAGGGTGAACAGTCATGGAGGTCATATTTATTCAAATTCATACATATGGAATTGCATTCATCCACCAAAACATATTTACCAACCTATCAGGTATACAGGTAATAGTCACAAATATGGTTGTTTGGTTTTGACCTCATATGGTATGTGAATACAGATATAATTTGTAAAACATGCTTTATGACTTGGCATTATGGATGAACCATGTCACTTCGCTTTTTTTCTACAAACCATGTCCAGAATAGCTGTTTATACATGTAGGACAAGTTTTTACTCCAAATGTACCTTGAAGAGGAAGAGTCTATAGAATTGTTTGTATCTGCAGATGGATCAGGGAAGGTTGATTATGAGGATAGTCTCATTCTTATGTGCAGCTCAACCATTCCTTCCTATCCTCCTTGCTCCAGAAATAATATTGACCTATCTATGCCTCCCTGATAGGAAAGGAATGGTAATTTTTCATATGAAGTTATGAAGTTAAACTGTGGACAATAGATCTAAAGATACATTTCCTCCTTGATTGAGATCCTTCTTTTCCCGGCTACCATCCACGTATAAAAACCAAAGCAGAAGAAACTGATGATTCTGGTTAGCAATGAGAGCCCCCACAAAAAGATTTTAAATTTATGATTGCAAGTGTTTCCTATATGCACAAATCTCTACTTAGATAAGATGGCACTTGGCTCCAGATATCTATCATAACTCAATGAGAAAAATCAAGTGACCTGTTTATTGATATATCAGCTTTATGCTGAGGTCTTCCAGATGTATTGCAGTTCAACTTCCATAATCCCTCTGCTGACCATGCTATCTGGGGAATTATAAGAGGCGCCAGGTTGGAAGAAGATTAATATAAATGCATAGATGATAGACATACAGAAAGGAACAACTATATGCCTTCAGTTTCAGCTTTACCAAAAATGATTGTTATGAGCAATGGCCTGAAAAAAGAATTTATATATTGCAAAAAATCCTAGTGGTTGTCTCATCTTTGTCCAAATACTTTTATGTATCATATTGGAGTTATGCATGGCTAACTCTATTGCCATGTCACAGATGGATCTCACAACAATGGTATTACAATTGCACAGCCCTTAGTTGCAAGGCAATGCTGGATATTTATTCTTTTCTCAAAATACTTATCTTGCTTTGTCTTTCTAAGACATCAGAATCTCCACAAATATTTTTGTCTCACTTTAAGAATAAGTATATTTCTCTCTCTCCCTCTCTCTCTCTCTCTCTCTCTCTCTCTCTCTCTCTCTCTCTCTCTCTGTCTATCTATCTATCTCTCTCTCTATCTATCTATCTCTCTCTCTCTATCT